AAAAGACATTTTTCTTTTACCTTAATTATACTACCTTAGGGGCCCGCTATAACATATTACCGAGGTTCAATACTGCTGTTTTGGTGGGGCGGCGCTGGGGAAGGAGGGTTTGTTTCTGCCGGGCAGGTGGCGCTGGGATGGGGGGGGTGTTTTGGCGGCACTGGGGGGGTTGTTTCTGGGGGGCGGGCGGCGCTGGGGTGTATGTGTGTTGTGTTTCAGGGGGGCTGGGTGGCGCTGGGGGGGGGTGTTGGTGGCGCTCGGGGGGTTTCAGCCCTCAGCTGTTTTCTTTGGAGTAATATGGCCCTCGCCGCTTTACGAGTTGTGCAGGCATGTGTGACCTCCTGTATAAAACACAGGTAGTAAGACTTCCCTGAATTAATTCCTGTTTGAATTAGAGTGTAACTTTTAGAAAAACATCCATTCAGAATTTGATCTACTTCTGCTTGCAGCTCGTACCTATCCATTTTTTGTTTCATGGTTTTAAAAGGAATATAAACGTGTTAGAACATCCAGTGGGAAATGGCTGCCATTTTGATACACAAAGTTGAATAAGCTTGATATGTAGCAATTTGATCACCAAAACTCTGACTCTTGAAGTGTAGAGCTAGAAATAAACTACTTTTGGTACTTGATTTGAAAATATAAAACTGTATTTCCTTTCTGTACTTGCATTCTCTTTAACTGTTTACCGCTGCTTTTATTTCTTTAAATACTTCTGTCTCTTCTTAATTCAAAGCTACACAAACTCTGCGTGCTGATAAAATGAAATGTATTCAAGGGTGGTGTTCACACCACCAGCACTGTACCGAGAACTGATCATTTAATGGATTAAAAAAAACAACCATGCTTTTCTGTCAGAAGTGTAGAACGGTAACAGAAGTATTTGTTCATTCCATGTCCAAATGGCTAGTGCAGTAGGATGAACGTGAATTACCTCAAATGCTTCTTGTTTTCTTCCAGATGAGGCCATTTAAATTAAATTCAAAACCATTGTCTACTTATAATCAGCAGCTGTGGCTGACGTGTGTGATTCAGCTGGATCAGCCTGACGGTAAGCACCTTGTCCAATTTATTATTTCAGAAAACATGTTATCCTGGAATTTTATTACAGTAGGTATAACAAGTCAATTACGGTTACAGTAGTTGACCTGTATTTCACTTAGCTGTCATGTATATTATCATGTAGTTTTACCTGGATCCAAAATGCATGGGAAAAAACCCACCCATCGCAATAAATATGCAGAACTTGACTTGTTAGCTAAGAATCTAAGGGAATGGTTGCAGGGAAATTTTAAAGTTGTTTGTTTTTTATACTTTTTGCTTAAGTAGTAGTGTTTTGTGTGTGTCTCTCTTTCTCTTTAGCTTCCTCTTTTTGGGATTAGACTAGTTGATGTTACAAGATATTGACTATAGATTAACACTCAGATTCTCAGATCACATTATCAGGTATTGCTAATTGCACTGACTATCACACTGACTTCAATGGGAATTCTTGCCCACGTCAGAAATGCAAGATTTTTCCTCTCTACTGTAATAATGCGTACCTGAATCGGCTTCAGTAAGCTGGGAGTATTGCTGCACCTAGTAACTCTATTTGAGATTTCATTTCTGCATTTGTTTTGGACAACAGCTTAATATTTTTCTCTTTAATTACAGAATCCAGCTTCAAAACAAATGTTACTATGACAGTTAAAATACGTGGTGTAGAAGAAAATGGAAGTTCATCGTTCATTAATAAACAAGTTTACAATCGGACGAGAATGCTGAACTGTGCACAAGTAAGTATTTTTTTGAAACAACACTAATTGTAAAGCTTATTCTTTTAAAACTACTCGTGTGTTGTAGATGTGGGGAGAGTATCTGATAAAGAGGCCACAGGGGAAAACTTGCAGTAAGAGTTTGTCTACATTATGCTTGCAGTTGTGCTAGTAATACTGTCTTTCTTGGATTTTGCTAGCAAGGTTGTAATATGGCTTCCTGCAGCTGTGTGGCATGACTTCTTTTGAGATCCATAGTAACCAGACCGAAATACAGAATACTTTTCAGGTTGTCAATAGCATGAATGGAACTGAATTACAGGGAAAAAAAATTCTCTTTACACTGGGAAAATGGTAAAACTCAGCTGGTCACGACTGTGTTTAAACGCAATTGCTGCTGGCACTGTTTTAGTATTAATGTGGACAGATCCTAAATGGAAGAATCAGAATGCTTGTAATATAGTCACTGCCTTGAGTCTGAGGCAAAACATTATTTAAGTGTATTCATTTAAGGTTTTAAAGTTCTAGCATACCTTTTCTTCAGCATCTAAGATTTGAGTTAGTTTAACTTGAAGAGCCATGAAACTACAGCTCCTCATGAGTGAGACTTTCTTTAGAAGAAAGATCTTAATTACACAGTGAGGACCATACATCATAATTAGGGCCCTACCAAATTCACCATGCATTTTGGTCAACTTCATGGTCATAGGATTTTTAAAATAGTAAATTTCATGATTTTAGCTATTTAAATCTGAAATTTCATGGTGGTGTAATTGTAGGGGTCCTGACCCAAAAAGGAGTTGTGGGGGGGGGTCTCAAGATTATTGTAGGGTGGGTTTCAGTACTGCTACCCTTACTTCTGTGCTGCTGCTGGTGGTGGCGCTGCCTTCAGAGCTGGGCAGCTGGAGAGCAGCGGCTGCTGGCCGGGAGCCAAGCTCTGAAGGTAGAGTCATCGCCAGCAGCAGCACAGAAGTAAGGATGGCATGATATGGTATTGCCACCCTTACTTCTGCCGTGCTGCCTGCAGAGCTGGGTCCTCAGTCAGCAGACTCTCTGGCCGCCCAGCTCTGAAGGCAGCATCACAGAAGTAAGAGTGGCAGTACCATACCAAGCCATCCTTACTTCTGCGCTGCTGCTGACGGGGCGCTGCCTTCAGAGCTGGGTGCCTGGCCACCAGCTCTGAAGGCAGCGCAGAAGTAAGGATGGCAATATCGTGCCTCCCTTCTAAAATAACCTTGTGACTCCACTCCCCTCCTCCCCCACCGCAACTCCCTTTTGAGTCAGAAACCCCAATTTGAGAATGCTGGTGTCCCCCATGAAATCTGTATAGTATTGGGTAAAAGCACACAAAAGACCAGTTTTCATGGTCCGGGATGTGTTTTTCACAACCGTGAATTTGGTAGGGCCCTAATCATAAGTCAGATATTCTGGACTTGACATTTTTTTTCTTATCTCGGCTGGATTCTTTTTTTTTTTTCTTTTTCTTTTTCTTTTTAAAGTCCCCAATCATTAGTTAGCCTTTAGGCTGACTCAAGACAGTTGAATCTTGCACACTCCATTTCCCCCTTCCTCTTGCACTCCTTCATGACTGATGGTATTTCTTTAAGGATTTCAATATAGAAGGGTTTTAGAGGAGTGTGAGACCCACCCTGTCCTGCCAATCTGTGACCCAAAAATCCCCCCAAATTCTCCTCTGTGCCATCAGGTTATTTCTTTGGAAGGCTTAGTGAAATATTTCAAATATTTGTAACGTGAGTGTGTAAAGAGATGCTCTGTCTCTGCTTGGTCACTTTGTCTCACTTATACGTGGGCATTCTGAATGTTTTGAATGTCTTAAGTCAGTCTAGATGCTGCTTCTAGTTTTCTGGCTTGTGATCCCCTCTACAAGATGTAAAAAAGAAAATAATAAAAAAGATTAGGTAAAATGTTTAAATGTCCCTAAATGACTTATGAACGCAAATCCTATTTCAGAGTAGCAGCCGTGTTAGTCTGTATCCGCAAAAAAAGGTTTTTTTCTCTTAATTAATTGGCCTCTCAGAGTTGGTAAGACAACTCCCACCTGTTTATGCTCTCTGTATGTGTGTATATATATCTCCTCAATATATGTTCCATTCTATATGCATCTGAAGAAGTGGGCTGTAGTCCACGAAAGCTTATGCTCTAATAAATTTGTTAGTCTCTAAGGTGCCACAAGTACTCCTGTTCTTTTTTTTGTGGTTAAATGAAAGGTCCCAATTTTAAGTGCTCAGAAGCTAGGAAATGAGACATT